AGTAATGGTATCATATCAATACCATGTATCTCCCTGATAATGATACACTGAGAAGCCACTCAGTATCATGTTTGTGATATTCTTGCCAAAGGTTCACAGCCTCACTCTAGTAGAAAACATCAAACATACCCAAGTTTGGAGAAAGTCTATCAAATAACTTTACTTGTACTCATCAAAAGTGTCAAGGTCATAAAAGACAAGGAAAGACTGAGAAACTCATAGATTTGAAGAGATCAAGGAGAGATAAAGCAGTTAAATGCAATGTGGGATTCTAGATTGGATCCTGGAATAGGAAAAGGATGTTAGAGGAGAAACTGGTAAAATTTGAATAAAGTCTATACTTAAATTAATAGTATTGTGCTAATATTAACCCTGGTTTTGAAACTAATTATGTAAATTATTATACATTAGGGAATCCAGGTAAATGGTATATGTTTATTCTATTCTCTTGCTGTCTTTTGCCACTTTCTTGTAAGTATAAAATTATATCAAAATAAGTTTAACAAGATTTTCAACTTCTGTATTATAAGAGATACTTAATGCATATGTAACTTAATGTTACATGTTCTCACCCCTTTAAGGTACAAATAGTAACATACTATACATATTGTTCTAAACTTAGTCTTTTTCAGTTCATGTTTGAGACCACTTCATACTGATACATGAAGTTTCCCCTTTTTTGTAGCAGTGTAGTGTTCTGTTATAAGGATGTCCTGGAATTTAATTAGGCTCTTACTGATTTTTTTCCCATTATTTTAGAATATAAGATTTTGGTTGAAAAGTAGTTTTGTTAGTAGAAAACTTAGAATAATCTACTTGTAGGACTAAGAAATTAAATATGTATTTGTACACATAAGGCATCAATGTGTGTTCTCATGCATTTAAATATAGTATTTTGCTACCTTTAAATGAAGGTGAGATACTGCTAGGGATATCTATCACCCGTTTATCATTTTCTTCCTCTGCCTCATTGAAGATCACTTTATCTCAATAACTCAACATGCCTGAGAAGAAACATATTGATGCCTGAGTGTATGCAAATCAATACAGATGATTCACATATTTTAACAGTGTTATGGATCCTGCTTTTGGTGATTATTATCTTTGCTGTTAATCCACGGCAGTCCTTTCAAGTGTTTGTTATTTCTTAGTTTATATGTAGGCTTCTTAGTGCACCCAACTGGAAGCATTACTGACACTTAGTACCCACATTTTAACATCATGGATTTTTTCTCTTCTTCTTCTAGGAATGCGCTTGGCTCTGGCTGACGCTGGTGACACTGTTGAAGATGCTAACTTTGTGGAAGCCATGGCAGATGCAGGTATTCTCCGCCTGTACACCTGGGTGGAGTGGGTGAAAGAAATGGTTGCCAACTGGGACAGCCTGAGGAGTGGCCCTGCCAGCACCTTCAATGATAGAGTCTTTGCCAGGTAATCTGTGGACCACAGCTACTTAGTCTTTTAGAGTTGCTTGGTCCTGTGCATTTTTTTTTTATTAAGGTATCATTGATACACAATCTTATGAAGTTTTCACATGAGCAACCTTGTGGTAACTACATTCATCCATATTATCAAGCCCTCCCCACCTCATTGCAATCACTGTCCATCAGTGTAGTAAGATGCTACAGAGTCACTACTTGTTTTCTCTGTGCTGTACTGTCTTCCCTGTGACCCCCTACATTATGTGTGCTGATCATAATACCCTTTAATCCCCTTCTCCCTCCCTCCCCACCCAGTCTACCCACCCCTGCCCTTTGGTAACCACTAGTCCCTTCTTGGAGTCTGTGAGTCTGCTGCTGTTTTGTTCCTTCAGTTTTGCTTTGTTATACTCCACAAATGAGTGAAATAATTTGGTACTTGTCTTTCTCCGGATCCTGGTGCATTTTTAAGTTGTGTTTTTTTTTCCTTTTCCTAAAATAAATTTAGATGTTAATAATAACTACTGTTCATTGAAAGCTTACTGTGCCAGGTACTATGCTAGGTGCTTTGTATCCATTATCTGATTTTAGCCTCAAAGCAGCCTCATATGATGAAGATATTGTTAGCTCTATTTTATAGTTAAAGAAATTGAAGCTTAGAAAAATTAAGTATTTCCTTAGATGCTTCAAATCTAGTTAATTTCACACTTGGGAGATGAATCTGTCTCCAGAGCCCATTCTTGTAACTGTTTTACCATGCTGTCCCGTGTTAGCAGGGCAGAATGATTAAAGAAGAGTGCATTAAAAGAGGAGAACTGTCTTTTTTTCCCTTTGAAAGACATTTATCAAGCTCTTGATCAGCACATCAGGAACTGTCCTAAACACTGGTGTAAAAAAGATGCATGAGACCTAATTCTTTATTGTAGTCTAACAGAGAGAAAAAACACTTACCCAGTCAATAACTAAATTATAGGGATAGAGAGAATTCCGAGATGGCCTGTGAGTTTTGGGTTTCTTGAAAAACAAACAGGATTTTTGCAAGGAGAGGAGAGAGCCATGGAAAGAGTATAGTATTCATTTGAAGTGTGATGTGTGCAGACAGAAGCAGGCACTCCAACAAACTGGGGCCAGACTAAGCCAAATTATGAAGGGCCTGCATAGCATGAGGAAATTTTTTTTTTTATATCCAGTGTCAGTAGTTTAAAATACAGCAATTAAACCTGACCACAACCTTAGGTGAGCTATTTTTGTATTGCATTTTGGGCTTCATGACGACGTTTCTGTCAGGAAATTTTTAAACAACCACATTGTTAGCTGTATTGTCATAAACAGGAGCTAAGCATTGTCCGATGATAATACTTAAGAGTGGATAGACAGTATGAAAGCTGCAGTTACACAGTTGTAAGGGACACAAAAGTGGTTTTGTGTTTGAGCAGTCATAAATGTTTCGGCATTGTTCTCATTTTACTAGTGTATGTGGTGCTTATTATACCTATATATATTGCCTTTAAACTCAATAACCTTTTTTTCCTCTTCAATAGTGAAATGAATGCAGGAATTATAAAAACAGATCAAAACTATGAAAAGATGATGTTTAAAGAAGCTTTGAAAACAGGGTTTTTTGAGTTTCAGGTAGGCTATTCTTTTAGTAGCTATAAAATATGTCAGTGTGAATATGATATATTCGCCCTTTTTCCCTCCTGCTATAACAGAATAATTCATCTAAAGTGGAGACTGAAAATCTTGCCAAAATGTTTAAAAATTCTTCAATAAATTGTGATCTTAGTTTTCTTTGGTGTTTTTTCTGTTGTGTCTATTTACTATAAATAATTCTATTTCTGGTTGAGCCGTGAGTTAATAAAGAGGTGAAATCTGAGAATCGGATATATTTTCCAGGAAAACATTTTTAAATTGATTTTAAAAAAGGCACAATTGTTGCTAGTCACTGTTAGTTTAAAAACAAACATTTTCTGAGGTTTTCCACAAGGTGTCAGTATTTCCTCAGATTTGGCAGTTCAAATGCTTTAAGTCAAAACAGCTTTCCTCGGGTTTGAAATAATCACATTGGGATTTATGTAACTTGGTTTTCAGAGACATGGTTAAATAAGAGTAAGTGCTGAGTGTAGCAATGTTTTGTATTTATAGCCTTTTTTGGTATTTAATATCTTCCTTATTTGCTGCTCCTATTCACCCTTACTTAGTACACAGTTTAAATTGTTCAACTTTTATGTCTGTTACAAAATGTCTTCTTAAAAAATTTTTCTTGAGAGTCATTGATATAAACTGCAGTATCCTTTGGACAAAAATAGGTGTTCATTTATTTGCAAGTAGTTAAAGTAAAACCTTTACAAAAATTCATTATGGAATTTTAAAAGATTAGAAACTTAAAAATGCATTAAAATAGAGATGCTGAATTATTTTCCTTTAATATTATTTTCAAGAAGTATGGGGAGAGAAATGGTAAATAATTTCAAATTTTATAGGCCGCAAAAGATAAGTACCGTGAATTGGCCATAGAAGGGATGCACAGAGATCTCGTGTTCCGGTTTATTGAAGTTCAGACACTTCTCTTGACTCCATTCTGTCCACATGTGTGTGAGCACATCTGGACACTCCTGGGAAAGGTAATCTTTATGCATTTAAGATGTGGGTTGGTTTGATTTGGCCCTTATTAAATAAATATTCTAATAATATTACTTAAGAGAAAAAAGACTGAAAATGAGTATTTTAAGAATAATGTCAGATTCATCATCTCATAATTATTACAGCAGGTTAAAATAAACTGCAGCAATCTTTGTTTAGACAGCTATATCATGTATGTGCCTTTATTTATGAGTGCACAGTGTGTGTATTTTAAAACATGACTATGCACATGTTTATCACCTACTTGTTAGGAAATGTTATAATGCATTTGCATACATTCAGATATACATCTGAATATGTATGTAACTAATACTGTTTTCCTAATGTTTGTTAAAATGGTGAAAATACTAAGATATAAATAACTATGAGGGGCTGACTGTAAACAAAGATAGAATCATATATTTGCATAAATATTCTTATTTTATATAAAATTCTGGGCATATATAGGGCTTCATATTCAGGGATATTATATTAGCATTCTTACTGGGAGGATAAATTTGATTATTTTTCCCAGGCTTGCAGATGAACAGACTCACTAGTTTAATAATTTCTTTCCAACCTTATTAGCCAGGCGATTTGTATTTTTCAGTGTATGAACAATGCAAAAATCTGCTCATGGTATATATACTAAATAGCCATACTTTCAGTACTGGATATATTCATAGGATAAAAATTGAGAGTATGCATAATTTATATAATAATTAAATTTAGGCGAATTAGCATTACATAATTTTCTTTGAAAGTGAGCATATGCGTGTGGGTATTAATATGCTTGTACAATGGGTACTAATTAAGAATGTAGAGTCAGACTTCACAGCTTGAATTCTAGGGAACATTAGATCAGGGGCTGTGTTATGTGTAGTCAGGTTTGAACTTTGAGCACACAATTACAGATGGTAGCGTTGGTATGAAACTGTAATCAGGAATCATAAAATAGTTCTGTTGTCTACTGTCACTGAACCTTTTTTTCTTAAAGCCTGACTCAGTTTTGAATGCTTCATGGCCTCTGGCGGGTCCTGTGGATGAAGCCTTGATCCGTTCCTCACAGTATCTGATGGAAGTTGCGCATGACCTTAGATTGCGACTCAAGACCTATCTGATGCCAGCTAAAGGGAAGGTGAAGTCATTCTTTTTTAAAAAAAGGTCATTTCTTAAAAGTTTTTGGTCAAATAACATATAATCGTAATGAAAATTATGGTAACTTTCATTAAAATGTGTAGGGCTCCCTTCACTGCTAATCTAATTTTGTAGTATGTGTATTTTTTTTAGTGTTAAAGGAAGAAGTGGTATGTATTGGGTGAGGGCGCCTTCATTTTTGGTGTATATGAAAGTGATTAGATGCTTTTTCCTTTTCTTGTGCTTCCAGAAGACTGACAGGCAACCACCTCAGAGGCCTTCACATTGCACCATCTATGTGGCGAAGAACTATCCATCTTGGCAGCACACCACCCTGTCAGTTCTACGTAATCATTTTGAGGTGATGTACTTAGTACTCTCCCCGACATGTTCTATGCTGCCTGTGTTTTTGTTTCCTGTGCTGTTGGCAGTGTCCAGGGGGAGGAAGACAGGCGGATTCATCTGATCACCTTTAGCATGGAGTGGTCTTTGTTGTCTTTGGTGGCTCTTAAATGGATGCTGAGGGAAAAGCTGCTGTTTTCTTCACCATTTCTGAAACTTTCATGCAAAAATCCACTGTATCTAGTTGTATGCAATTAAAAGGTGTGTGACTTTTTCATAGGACCGAGTTTGTCTTTTGTGTTTATTGTGACTTGAACATTGAAAATTTGAAGCTTGGCTCTTGAATAATTAAAAAGAAAATGTTCAATTTGATAATTACCTGTAGAAATGGAGAGCTCAATGCTGTTTTTGGCTCTGTCAGGTAGTTGTTAAATGATAGTTGTATTTTTAAAGAATCCAATATTTAAACTTAGTTCTAGATTTTCTTGAAGAAAAATTCATCTACCTTTTACCTTTCACATTTAAAATGTGGAAACAAAGTATGTGTTGTGGAATTTTTGCTCAGGTTGTTAGCAACGGTCATGGATAGACACAAACCATTAAGGCGCACTTAAAAAGCAGAAAAAGAGAAAATAGAGATTATGGCCAAATCATAAACCGATAACATAAAGGAAAAATGCTTAGTTCTGATTTTTGAGACCTTTATTGGAATTTTGCTTTAATACTTCACAGAGAAATACTCAGAAAAACTTAGAAGTTTAAGTTTGATGGAAGGAGAAGAGCAAGTGTTTTTGCATCCCTTGAGAACCCGTTTTCATGGAGAACTACCTCCGTGTGTGTAACAGAAGACCGTAGGCTTTAGAATCTGCTCGCAGATTTTGCCATATCATAAGTAGAAGAGTCAAAGCTCCTTTGCTGGGGAGAAAAATGAAATTGTGCTTTTGTGGGTAACATATTCATACCAGCATTTACAAGGAAGCAGTGGGAGAACCAAATATTATGTAATGTCCTGGATATTAAAAAATGTATCACTACTGTTCTTTTAGAAGTTACGTTTTTATTTAGTAATCATTGACTAGCTATTATATAGTTTCAAAACAATATCATCTTTTGGCATTATCTGGAGTGATCAGCTTCCTTTTAAATTTTCGTTTGTTCCTTCCAAAAGAACTAAAAGAATATTTGTTTGTAATCAAAAAGAATATTCTTGTGTTGAATATGGCACCTTTTTGGAGATATGAGGAAAAGGAGTGTTTCCAATCTCCTCTGCTTTTCTTTTTCATATATTTTAAAGCAACACATTGACAAGTAGAGAAAATATTTTTTCCCATGTACTTTAGTAGAGATTAGAATCGAAAGTAAATAGATAATTGGACATCTTACGATAAATTACTTTTCATTTAGATTTATTCCCAATCCTTGGCTTTGATGCTGTGCTTTTACAATTAGGAGAAAAGAAGTCACCGAAAACTCTGAAAAGGCAGTTTGCTTTATTTTTCACTCTATTGAAGTGGACAGTTGCTGTTTGCAGAAATGAATTTAAATTCAGGTAGCACATTTGGGACTGTGTGCCTATTAATGATATATGATATAGGCATTTATTTTTGAGTAGATAGAAATATTTTTAACACGTTGATAGCTAAGGATTCTTTTTTTCACACTTGTGCTAACAGTTTATAAGGAAGGATATTCAAAAGCTGACATTATATGTATCTAGTATGATAGTTGCGTAATTTTGTTACGACTAGAGAAATGCTTTTAGAAGTTTGAAGACAAGCAGATCTCTGTAAGACCATTTTGTTTTCTCCCCAGATAAGCTCTAATGTTCTAGTCTCAGAGATGCCATTAGTGTAAGGAAAGACTCAGTGCTTAGCATGATGCACCTGCTTTCCCTTTACCCAGCAAGCATGTGCTCTTTAATTCAGAGGCAGTGGGGGACTCGCTGTGTATCAGTCACCTCCTCACTTCCTGCCAGGGCTTCATGGAACGCTCTCCTCTCCTCTCGCAGACTGGTGGAGGCCACCGTTCTATGTCTGGCCGCCTTCATGCAGGCACATCTACTGTCCTGTGTCATCTTTAACATGTTTTTCTCCTGTTCCTCCTCCATTCTTCCTTTTAGACCAACAGTGGGAAATTGCCTGATAACAAAATCATTGCCAGTGAACTAGGCAGTTTGCCAGAACTGAAGAAGTACATGAAGAAAGTGATGCCGTTTGTTGCCATGATCAAGGTGAGCCGCGGCCCGTGTGTGGCTGTGACCACACGAGTGACGGCCTGCTAGCGCAGCAGAAGGAAGGGGAAGGCTTTGGTCCATTCTCCCGCAGGAATTCTGCTGATACAGAACTTTTCAGTCAGTGGTTGAGACAAATGAGCAATTAGATTTGGGGTTTACTTGTGGAATTGCTAAGTATGTGAAAATATGTATTGTGGAAGAAAAGTTGGTTTAGAATTGCTGCGCCAGACGATCCGCTTCATGTTCAGCCTTTCCTTGTCCGTTTGAGGAGCAAGCGGATCCGGCTGACGTCAGGCTGCTTCTACTAGACTCTGTTGCTACAACTGAGATTCCTCATTTGTATAGGTTTGGCTAAACTGGATAAACACTGTTTATAGTGGTTAGACCAGGGTTTCTATGGCTCAGTTAATGTTTTGGGCCAGACAGTTGTTTGCTGTGGGAGGCTGGCACGTGCACTGCAGGACGTTCAGCAGCACCTTTAGTCTCTGCCCACCAGATGCCAGTGAACTGGCACACCTCCCCCTCTCCTCCTCAGGCTGTGGCGACCCCAAGTGTCCAGACAGTGCCAGATGGCTCCTGGGGACAAAATCGGCCCCCACTCCCCTGCCGCCACCACACACTGAGAATCATTGGGTTAGATTTCTAGTTTTCTTCTTATACATAACTGATTTTCTGAATTTCTAGACAAAGAGAAACAGAAGCCTTTATATCGCTTAAGATCTCATGCTCTGGGGTCAGACGAATCTTGGTCCAAATCATGTTTGCCTGTCGCTTACTAGTGTAGAGGCCTTAGACAAATCAGTTAAATTTCTGGGCCACAAAGCTTTTAATTTATAAAATGAGGAAATTAATAGAAACTACCTTTTAGGAGTACTATGAGGAATAAATGAAATAATATACTTACCACACTCTAATATCTGTCAAAAAGTAGGCTTGGTAAATGTTTTTTTTAAATGTAAATCTGTCTTCTAGCCTCCTAGGCACATAGTGGTTGTTCTTGTACTTCGTATTGATTCTCAGATCTAGGCTACAGATGCCTCCCTGCTGGAGACCAAAACTCTTAGCTCGGCCTTCACCAGAGTAGATTGTATTCTAAGGAAAGTCTTTTAATTCTTCTAAACCAGAATCAACTACCTAGCCTGTGGTGTTTGAAGCTTCAAAAGTAATTTAGAATCCTGGGCTGACCTACACCAGTCAAGTTACAATATGCATGTAGAAGCTCATGATTCATTGGTTCCCTGCTCAGCTGGTGCTGTTGGTCAGAGTGCCAGGTCCGTGGTCAGTATACGGACCCAACAGAAGACCCTGTTGGTGGTCGCAGAGACAGTGGATTCTGATGATGTGTTAAGAATCCGGTGAAACTGATATGAAAAGTAGTAAAAATTCAGATTGAACAGTTGCCTTTTTGAAAAAGCAGTGGTGGACTGTTTTAGTAATAATATATTTTTCTCAGTAATATTGTTGATTTGCCAGGCTAGCGATTTGAAACTTTAAAAAAAAAGTGTTTAATAAATCTGGTAATAAGAGAATAGCTTCTAGCACTTTTTCATGGGAAAAAAACCAACTTGGATGGTAAATGAAAACAGTGAATACCAGGAGTCATGTCGGGTCACTTAGTGCCCATGTTCCAGGCAGGAAGCTACATTTGTCCTTATTAATGTGGATCTTGAAAGTTATACATTGAGTGGCAAATACTTTGTTTCATGTTCAAGAAAATTAAGAATAAGAAATTATTTTGTATGTGCCAACGGGTTATCTGAGTACCCATATAAAGTGACTTTAAAAAAATTTTTAGATTTTCAGGGATTTTTTAAATTAAGGTATCATTGATATATACTCCTATGAAGGTTTCACAAGAAAAACAATGTAGTTATTACATTCACCTTGTCAAGTCCCCCTCCACAGCCCATTGTAGTCACTGTACATCAGTGTAGCAAGATGCCACAGATCCACTATGTCCCTTCTCTGTGCTACGCTGTGTTCCCTGTGACCCTACACATACCATGTGCACCAATCATGATACCCCACAATCCCCTTCTCCCTCCCTCCCCACCCACTCTCCCCCACTCCTCCCCTTTGGTAACCACTGGTCCCTTCTTGGAGTCTGTGAGTCCGCTGCTATTTTGTTCCTTCAGTTTAGCTTCGTTGTTATACTCCACAAATGAGGGAAATCATTTGGTATTTGTCTTTCTCTGCCTGACTTATTTCACTGAGCATAATACCCTCTAGCTCCATCCATGTTGTTGCAAATGGTAGGGTTTGTTTCTTATGGCTGAATAGTATTGCATTGTGTATATGTACTGCATTATCTTTATCCATTCATCTACTGATGGACACTTAGGTTGCTTCCATATCTTGGCTACTGTAAAAAGTGCCATGATAAACATAGGGGTGCATATATCTTTTTGAATCTGAGAACTTGTATTCTTTGGGTAAATTCCTAGGAGTGGAATTCCTGGGTCAAATGGTATTTCTATTTTTAGCTTTTTTGAGGAACCTCCATATTGCTTTCCACAATGGTTGAACTAGTTTACATTCCCACCAACAGTGTGGGAGGGTTCCCCTTTCTCTGCATCCTCACCAGCATTTGTTGTTCCTAGTCTTTTCTATGTTGGCCATCCTAACTGGTGTGAGGTGATATCTTACTATGGTTTTAATTTGCATTTCCCTGATAATTAGCAATGTGGAGCATCTTTTCTTGTTGCCTGTTGGCCATCTGAATTTCTTTGGAGAAGTGTCTGTTCAGATCCTCCACCCATTTTTTAATCAGGTTATTTGCTTTTTGGGTGTTGAGGCATGTGAGTTCTTTATATATATTTTGGATGTTAAGCCCTTGTCAAATATGTTGTTTATAAATACATTCTCCCATACTGTAGGATGCCTTTTTGCTCTGCCGGTGATGTCCTTTGCAGTACAGAAGCTTTTTAGCATGATGTAGTCCCATTTATTCATTTTTGATTTTGTTTCCCTTGTGCAAGGAGGTTCGTTCAGAAAAAAGTTGCTCATGTTTATATTCGAGATTGTTGCCTATGTTTTCTTTTTTCTTCTAAGAGTTTTATGGTTTCATGACTTACATTCAGGTCTTTGATCCATTTTGAGTTTACTTTTGTGTGTGGAGTAGACAGTAGTCCAGTTTCATTCTCTTACACGTAGCTGTCCAGTTTTGCCAACACCAGCTGTTGAAGAGGCTGTCATTTCCCCATTGTATATTCATGGCTCCTTTATCGTATATTAATTAACCATATATGCTTGGGTTTATATCAGGGCTCTCTAGTCTGTTCCACTGGTCTATGGGTCTGTTCTTGTGCCAGTACCAAGCTGTCTTGATTACTGTGGCTTTGTGGTAGAGCTTGAAGTTGGGGAGCATAATCTCCCCACGCTTTATTCTTCCTTCTCAGGATTGCTTTGGCTCTTCGAGGTCTTTTGTGATTCCATATTGCAGGGATTTTTAAATTTAGTTATTAGTTCACTGTTCTCTGAAATAGCTTATAAGATGTGGTGTCTGACAACATTTTTATTTCTTTATTTTTAGTTTCCTGGAGGGATATTTCCACACATTTGTTTGATTCTTTGTCAGAGTGAATTCTTTGGGTTTGCATATTAAGTCAGTCTAAATCAGTTGATAAAATTGTATTTCCTTTATAAATCTGAGAACCCTGTCCTTCCAGTCTTTTCAGTGCTGCCTTCATCTTATCATACTTTAAATGATAATTACTCTGAGCTAGTAATTTCATTAACAAGCAAACATAGATAAGAGACTATGAGTCCAAAGCCTTTCCTTTAGCTGTTTAAATTTGAAGATTTTATCAGTTGAGAGAAGATTGATTTGAAGGAAATATATTCTTTCAACCTAATGTGATTTTGTTTTTCAAAACCATTTGGCTGTTAGGAAAATCTGGAGAAGATGGGACCCCATGTTCTGGATTTGCAGTTAGAATTTGATGAACAGGCAGTGCTTACGGAGAATATAGTCTACCTGACCAATTCCCTTGAGGTAAGAAGGGCCAGGGATCCTAATAACTAGTTAGCTGTAGTGAACATAATCCAGTTCTTTTGTTTTATAATAAATATACCTTTTTATAAACTCCATGTTCTATATTTACTATCTTTGCCAAATATAATAAATATATAGGAGGGCAAAAGAATGGGTGGGTGTAGAGGTTGTAGGAAGAAAAATGATCTGTCATCTTATTCCACTTATCATTTATTCTACACATAAGATATTAACTCTATATGCCTGGATTTCCCCCAAAAAATTATCTTTAAATAAATGAGGAGAGACTTTATATTCAAATGCTTTTAAAGTCTCATAGAGTACTCTGAATTGCTTTTTTCCCTTCTTCCCTTTTAGACCTCAGATGCATAGAATTGGATTAATTAGAATCCTTGGTTCATAATATAATTTGTCTGTCTGGCCTTGGTTTTTTAAAAATTAGTAATATAATGAACATCCATGAAGTTACTACCCAGCTTAACGATTAGAACATTACCAATAGCTTTCAAATATCTGTGAGTTTGTCCCTGTCCCATCTTCCTACCCCAGTGACAACTTCATATATAGATTGTAAAAATGCTGTCTCTCAGACAACTGAAGCAGAAGGAAAGATAAATTGCTTTATAAAATTGTGTTAGTAGGACTCAAAGAGTGGTTCTAATGATGACAAATACACTAAAGTAAAAAAAAAATTCAGGTTTCGAGTTTGAATAAAATTTTTCATGCAATATGGGAATGAGTGGAAGAAAGTTATTTCTAAATAATAAGCATTTTGTGTCATGTAATTATAAATGAGTTAAAAGTTTAATTAAAAATAGACATTTCTTTTATGTGTATTTCAAAATGTTCATATATATTCATGGAGGGCAACAAATGTCTTGGATCTTTTCATGGGGACAGTGGGGTCATTCACATTTCAGTTGTGTGCAATGTGCTACATTTCTGAGTTTTTCTGTTTATGTGGCCACCTTTTATGCTGATTTTTCTTTTTCTCTTATACAAGAGGTAGATGCCAGATTTTATTGTAGAAAATGGTAAACCTGACTATATAAATGACAATCCCATGAAACATCTAGGATAAGTGTTAAATAATAGATTACAGATTTCAGTTAATGTTTATATGGAAAATAATAGAATTGCACAAGCCATTTCATATTAAGTGGAGAACTTAGTTTTGCTCTTTGGTGAAATGAGGTGGTGATTAATTTCAGTCCTATTAAGTGATACTAATGACTTCCATTTTTTCTCTTCTATTTAGCTAGAGCATATAGAAGTCAAGTTTGCTTCTGAAGCAGAAGATAAAATCAGAGAAGACTGCTGTCCTGGGAAACCACTTAATGTTTTTAGAACAGAAGTAAGTTGAAAGAATCTCACTGAATCATTGCTTGTTAGAGCTGGAAGAGACTTTAGAGGTTATTACATCTAAACCTGTCATCATTAAAGAAGGAAGGAGGTGAGGTCCGGAGAAAGGGAGTGACTGGGTTAGTCCACTTAGTTTGTTAGAAATGGGGCTGGATTTGAGGTCTTCTAATTCCCTGGTTGGTCCAATCCTCACTTTCCTTACTCCACTATTAGGGATGGTATCTGATGGTATTTGTAGGTTTAAAAATAAAAATATGATTTTCAAAACCTGATATTTATTAAAAAGTACAATGGAAATTGAAATCTAAGACTCTTTTTAAATGATAAAAAGGAGCTTTCATACTTTAGGAGAGTCTTGGTTTGATAATGCTATTCAAGATATTTTGGCTTCTGGCGTAAACCAGATTAATGAGTATCCCTTGGTCTTGATGTTATTGGACATTAGAAGTGTATCAGAGATCCCGCCTCCCTCTGCAGTATTCCAGCTCGATCTCCCATAACAGCCATTTTCTCTTCTTGTCAGCCTGGAGTGTCAGTTTCCCTAGTGAATCCCCAGCCATCCAATGGCCACTTCTCGACCAAAATTGAAATCAGGCAAGGAGATAACCGTGATTCTATAGTCAGGCGTTTGATGAAAATGGACCGAGGAATCAAAGGTAAACAGTCTACCTGACATGCACCCTTGGGGGTGGTCCATGTGGCCGTTCCTGAGAGGGGAGAAGAGGAAGGAAGTGACCGGCTTCAGGGACGTCTGCGTAGAGTTCTGGAAAATGGATTGTCTCCAGAGACAGGGATCCTGTGTTCTCTTTGGGACGTTGTGCTAGGTGGCCCAGTGACTTGGCTCTGCTACTTACGCTTTAAACTGACCTCTCTTGATGTGATGAGTACACGGGATCAGGTCCTTACGAAAGACTCCATCCGGCTTTAAAATTGTGATTGGCAATGTCTCTCAGAGGTATTCAGAATTAAGACACATGACCCTTAATATTCCAGACTAACACACCTCACTGGGTGTGTTCCTGGAGAAGGAAAAGAAACAGAAAAAGTTAATTGAGTGTCTGCCATATATTAGCCATTTAATCCTTTTACCATCCCGTGATGTAGAGGGTTTTACTCTTCCCCCTTTACACATGAAGAGATGGTGGTCAGAAAGGCTGAAGAACTTGCAAGTTGTATTTAGCTAGTAAATTCTGCATCTGGAATTCAATCTCAGATCTAATTTGACCCTTGAGACTCATATTTTTTCTTCTAAACAAAGTGCCTCCAGGTAAAATTTATGTAAATAATCTTAATTTCCTATCAGGATTCAGTCTAGATCTTCTCTGATTAGATTTAATATAGTAATATATAGCTTGTTTTTTTAAATCATTTAACCAGGTCTTAGGCTGAGCAGAGTATGAAGGGAGTTAGTGTGTATCTCTGTATTATTTTTCTCTCAAATTTAGAAGACAGATTAATGTTGAGATTCCCTTTTTTGCATCATCTCTCTCTTTCCCTGATGACAAGAGGTGATTGGGCCACATTCCATCAGTATAAAAATATTCTGAGAACATTTATAAATCCCTGACACTGACCTAATTCATGGAACTGTTTTCAGGGTAACAATATTCCACTGACATTGAAGACTTAAGATAGTCCTTTGGAATTCGTTCTGCCATGTATATTTTATGTTCAATCTGCCTTGCTTTTAAATGTACTCACATGTAGGACTCTTGAAGCCCTTGGTGCACCCTCTATGGACGTTTCCTGAGAGACTCATGTGTAGTGTGTGTGAGACCCTGTGCACGTACTAGGGGCTTTGGGGCGCCACGGAGGATCGTTCGTCAGGAGGCTGCACCTAGTGGGGGAGCAGGGGACTGAGCTGGCCAGGTGTGTTGTCACGGTCTAGGGGAGCTGCTGAGTGTGGTAAGAGAGCAATCAGTGGCAGCACAGAAAAGGGGGGATTGTTTCCAGCTAAGGCAATTGGGGATGAGCTTATGGGGGAAATATTGCTTGGATGGGGCCTTGAAAATTATGCTTGTGAGGTTCAGGAGAATGGGGGTCCTAGCAGGAGGGAAGCACTGATGATCCACTGGGAACAGCAGTGTGTTAGGGTTTGGGGTTTTCTGTTTGTAAACGGTTTTAAAAATTGTGGTAAAATATACATAACACAAAATTGACCGTTTTAGTCATTTTTACATTCACAGCTCAGCAGCATAAAATATATTCATGTTGTGCAACCATCATACTATCCATCTCTACAACTTTTTCATCAACCCAGATGGAAGCCCTGCACCCCTTAAACAATAACTCCCCATAATACCTCCCTCTAGTCCTGGTAACTGCTGTTCTACTTTCTGCCTCTGTGTCCTTGACTATTCCAGGCACCTAATGTAAGTGGAACTCTACAATGGTGAGAGAGTGGCTTATTTAACTTAGCAAAATGTCTTCAGGTCCATCCATGTGTTTATAGAGACTTGTCATATTTCCTCAGTAAACCAGGTACTGTGGAATGATAGTGCCACCTTAGTATTTGTGGGTCACACAAAGTAGCACTTGACAGTGTTGAAATATGAACATATAGGGAGCTGCTCTGTGGCTTTCCATTTGACTCTTTAATATTGCAGATACTCAGTCATTCGGAGATTTTGTAATAGGAACTCTCAGCCTTAAAGAACAAAAAGGAGCTTTTAAAGAAAATAGATATTTGTGTGGATCCACTGGATGGGATTATTATGAGGTTGTAGCACCTGTATTGAAAATGGTGTTACATAACGTTAAACCTGCCTCCCTGTCAAGTACACCCAGACACAGGATAGACTAGGTTCCTCAGAACTGCACTGAAATGTCATTTCTGGATCTCGCCTTTTCTCACTGAGCCTCTGGCAGGTTCTTACATCCTTTGTCATACTAGTTGTGAATAATATTATCATGATGTGCTTTAAGTTTGGTGTTAGTAGCTGCTGTGAATTTAAGAAAGTAGAAATGTTAGGGGGAGTTTGAAATTGATACTCCTCCGAATATCTAAGGAAGAGCTCTAACCCTGAGACTTTTCCAGAGCTCCCAGGATGCTTTGATTATGTAAGGGGGCTACGTGTACTGAGTATGTGAGATGGGACAGAAGGGAAATTCAATAACATGTTTCTCAGTCTGTCTGCTGCAGTAGCCAGCAAGTCGTCCAATTAGTGCCAATTGTATTGAGGGTGATTATGATCTAGGTCCAGGAGGAACTGGACTTAGACCATCATTTCACTCCACAAAGGCCACTGAGCAACTATTTGATGATAATGACTTTAAATCACTCACAGCCCAGGGCACATATGAACTAATAACTTGGAGGTGAAAGGCTCCATTTCACATTATCAATCCCTGGGGACTTTCAATCACTCTCATCTTTTCTCTGAGTGCCTTAATTCTTGTGTAGTTGCAGGATTAAATTTCAACATTTTCAATGATAAGAGAGGTCTGGGATAAAAAAAAAGTGGTAAAACCACTACGAAAGCTCCAAGAATTTATTGGCAGTAATGAGCTACATGGTGAAACATCAAAGGAAATGTGTTTTTGTCACTTAGAAGCCTGATTGAGTATTAAGGCTCCTTTGAAATAGTTTGATTCAGAATTGCTTGGAATGATGAGGCCAATCTGTTCCAGAGACACCGAGGAAGAGAGAGGGGCAGATCTGCAGTGAACGGCCTTGTGCAAAAGATCTGCTGGCAGGGCTTCCCAGTGCCTCCATAGCAAAGGGTTTGGTGTCACTGACACACATGCTGAATTGCAGTAGCTTTTAAAATGAACTGCATTCTTCCCCAGAATAAGATCTTGGCTGTCATGAAGGCTATATCTGCTTTCTCATTTTAATTTTCAGGGCTTGAGTGATCTCTGGGATAGAGTGTATGGTCTCTGCAGGGACTGTCCAAAAACTCTCAGGCAGGGTTTGCCTTCCAGGTAGGCGCTGGTGATTGTTGCGTAAGCCCCAAGAGCCCTGCTGCCGACTTGCAGTCCTTCAGACTTTGTTTCCCAAGGGAGGGAAGGCCTGGGTAACCTGTACTTCTGGCCTAGCCAGCAGCTGCATTAATGTCTCCTTTTATCTTCTGTCCCTCACACACTAAACTTCACATCCTCGAGACAGTGTGAGGGAGTATGCCCCCCAGACCACCCAGCGAGGCGCTTTAGAAAGGGGTGGGCAGTGACCTGCGGGTCATGCCACACTTAGAGGGAGACACAAACCCAGAATCAGCATTTGTAGTTACTTATGTGTTCTCTACCACATAAAATAAAACCATTTAATATTGGAATGTCTCAGAATTGCTGAAATAAATAAATTTCGGGGGCGCTTAGTTGGTGGCAGGATTGTTGGGTCATAGGTTCGTTCAGGCGACAAGTGCGTTCTTTGCCGGGAGCCGCCTTGGCAGCTTGTATAAGAGCGGATCAGGAAACCTGGAGCAGGGCCCGGTCGAGCTCACCCAAAGGCTCGGAACCCTCGGAGCCGCGCCCCCCC